TAAGCAAGTTTCCCAGCACATCTCACCTGAGAGAGGGTATAAAAATACAGGTTGGAACTCTAAAATCCAGTACTCTGTGGTCTGGATCACAGATATTGCTGTACCAGAGAGCCTGGCCGGGAGTGGGAGTAGCCAGGGTCAGGAGTGCAGCCTGATCTGGTAACAGCTGGCCCACAGGCCAGGAGCACAGCCCTGACTGCGGCTGGCGGCAGTGGGTCTGGAGGCAGTGGTGCTGACGTGGTAGGGAGTGCAGCCCTGGCCAGGAGTGGAGCCCAGTAGGGATGTGAACGACTAGTCAACTATCCAATAACCAAATGTTTATTGGATAGTCGACAGGGATCTACTAGTCGCCTCCAAGTGGAAGCTGGAATATGAGTTACTCCTGTTGATCAGAAAATCTAACCAAGGTTTCATTCAAAGGGGCAGTGCTGTTGGAGCCTGGTGCCAGACCTAGGGCTCCACATGGCGCTTGCAGCTTTGAAATGCCGTAGGAAGCAAGGGGCCAGTGGGGGACTGCTTGCCCTAGGCTGTTGCTACACTTCAGAGGCGGAAGCGCTCTTATCGACTAATCAAATATGCGTCAACTATTTGATTAGCCAAATAATCAAAATTTTACATCCCTAGAACCCAGTGCCAGGGGCTGGTGCCAGGGAGCGGGGTTGATGGTCAGGGAGGGAGCCTTGACCTTCCCAGGTCCAGAAAACTCCCTGGTTTGGAAGCACTCGGGTCCCAAGGGTTCTGAACCAGGGAGGTCCAATCTGTACACTCTCTGGTTATAGAACAGCTCAGCCTTTTCAAGCTGTGCCTTGCTGTGGGCTCAGAAGAGAGAAAGAGCCTTTTTATCTGCTGATCACTTGTTACATGAGGACAGTTTTTAAAATGTATAAAAAAAGCTGGGGACCGACTGGCTAGGTAGCAGTTCAACAGAAAAGGACGTGGGTATTACAGTGGATGAGAAACTGGATATGAGTCAACAGTGTGCCCTTGTAGCCAAAAGACTAATGGCATATTAGAGTGCATTAGGAGGAACATTGCCAGTAGATCTGGAGAAGTGATTATTCCCCTTTATTTTGTACTGGTGAGGCCAAATCTAGAGTATTGCATCCAGTTCTGGGCTCCCCGCCCACTACAGAAAGGATGTGGATGCATTGAAGAGGGTTCAGCGGAGGGCAACCAAAATGATTTTTGTTGGGGGAAAAAAAGGAATCTTGCCCATCTGAAATCTGTTCTCTCTGAACCGAAATTAGCGACACATTACCTACACCCCCTGACCTCTGTTTACTATGCCCCCATCTAGGGGTCAAGATGGACACATGACCAGAAGTAAAAGTAACCCCCTCTAAGAACTTTTCCTACCATCCTTTTACCCATAGGGGATGAGTTTGGCTCCTCACTGAGCCCTCTCTCCTCTGGTGCTGTCTGTTATGAAGAGGACTAATAAGCCACCTGAATTTCGAAATCTGTGGGGATCAGTATAACAAGAATGCTGTTTCCATCCAACTGCTTGCAAGCGGATTAGGCTGCGTATTAAGACATGTTAGCTATTGTGTCAGCATTTTGAGATCTGACTTGCTCACTAAGGCAGCATCACTAGCTTGCTTTCTTAACATTTCCAACCCCCTTGCTTCCTCTTGCCCCCAATGCCATTTTTTTTTTTTTTTTTTTTTTGCAGATTTACTCAGCACGACTCTCGCATTAGCATATGGAGTTGGTGGTTGGTTTGATAGAGCAGTTCTGCAATCCTTAGTCTTCTGTTCCTGGCCTCTTGGCATTTGTAGAAGGAACTAAACTGTTAGTGCCACACAACCTTTACATAATCTGAGCTCTGAATTGTCAATATGTGTGAGAGGCTGTTTCTGGTGTCCTAATGAGCACAGCTTTCCAGAATGCTCCTGTAGGTCTTCAGAACCAGGGTGCATCTCATAAGTCACAAGTGCATCTATTCAGAGGAACACTTTTACAAAAGAAACTATTATAGCAAAGAACCGTTTTGCTAGAGTGTGAAATATATTCATGGACATTCATTTTCACACAAATAAAATCAGAATCATGCTTAGCAATGAGTAGGGTGAGTGGCAGCCCATGCACGCATATGCAGATTGAGGAGCACTCATGATGCATAGCAATGGGCTTCCCAGGAGCTGTGCAAGCAGCGGCATTCATTTCTCTTGCTGGAGAATGCTCCTGAACAGAGACAGGAGCGTGCTGCAGTCACATCTCATTCCGTGAGCAAGTTAATGATTCATAAACATCTACAGAATCATCATTTCAATTGTCACACTGGGGGGGGCGCAGACCCCCCCCCCCCCCCATCATCCCAGATCTGGCTTGCGCAGCATGGCTGTGTGAGCGGGTCCGTGCATTGCCGCTCCCCCAGTGGGGTGGGAAGGGGCGGGGGGAGAAAGGGCTGTGCACAGAGCACAGTGGCAGAGCCCGAACGTACCCCTCTCTGCAGCGCTCCCGCTAAGCTCTACGCTGTCTCTGCCAGGACTGGTGGCAGCTCCTAGGAGCGGCTCACATCCGGCAGCAGTAGCAGCCATCCGTGGATGGAGGAGGCCAGGCTGGCGGCACACGACGGAGGCAGTCCCGCAGCAGGAGGGAAGGGCCATGCGGTGGGAGGAGGGGCTTGTCAGACAGCGGCGTGTGCTGCATGAGAGCTCGGAGCTCTGGACTCTGCGCACCACTGGCTGCGGCCCTGCCTGCCTGCACAAAGCACCAAGGGAGCTGCTTATGTGCTGGGTGGAGGCGGCGAGTTGCTGCAGAACCACGCTAGCGCTGGATATCTTTAAATCCGTGACTGTCCCGGGAAAAAAAGGGACATATGGTCACCATATCTCCTCAGCACACCTCGGACTGCCTTGCGGCACAGGAACACAGTTTAAGAAACGCTGTTGTAGATCCTGTTATTGTTAATGCTTTTCCTTAAAATAAATGTGCTTGCTTAAAAAGATGTGATAACTTAATTGTGTCTGGTACATGTTTACTTTTTTCCTCAGAGATGGTAAAGTAAGCCTGCATAGGCAGTCTAACTTAGCCTCTCCTCGTAGGTCATGTGCTCCATGTGCATAGGTTAGGAGATGGGCAGCATTAAAACATGCTGCTTAGGAGTTGAGAGAGATGCATGTCTTTTCTGAGTTGAATTAACAACCAGGGAGCTGGAGGCTTAAGTGTGGGGTGCCCCTGTTGGACTATGAGGAGGAATACAGATGCGTTGCCCTGAACTGTGACAATAACATTTTACAGGTGCAGGAATGGAAGAATGAAGGTGGGAAAACATACATGTGTACTGGCCGACCTGGCTGGCTAACAGTATCACTTCGTGTTGGAAAGTACAAGAAGACTCATAAAAATATAGTGATCAATTTAATGGACATTCTAGAAGTAGACATTGAAAATCAGGTAATACCAACATTTTAACATTTGGCACTAAAATTTACAGCACTGTTGTTATGGTTATTGCTAGCAGTGACCTTAGCAGTAATTGAAACCAGTATTTTTTAAATAATTAGGGCTGTCAAGCGATTAACAAAATTAATCATGATTAATCGCACTGTAAAACAATAATAAGAATACTATCTATTTAAATATTTTGGATTTTTTCTACGTCTTCTAATATATTGCTTTCAATTACAACACAGAATACAAAGTGTATAGTGCTCACTTTATATTTATTTTTTATTACAAAACATTTACATTGTGGAAAAAAACTTCAGTTTACCTCACTGAAGTATTGTAGTGCAAATTCTATCATGAAAGCTGAACTTAAATTCTTCTATCTTAAATTCTTCCTATTTTTGTCCTATTCAAAAGACTCCTTTTTTTTTTTTTTTTTAGCTCAGCCCCAGCTGTGGGCAGCACAAGGCCGGAGGGGGTAGACTCTGTCATGGGCAGTGCAGAGTTTGGGGGGGCTCAGCCCCCAACTGAAGGTGGCATAGGGCTCAGGGGTGAGGGTCAGTCCCGAAGCTCAAGGGAGGGGTCAGCCCCTGGGCTGGGGGGGGTGGTAAACCCCACCATGGGCAGTGCAGAGTTCAGGAGGGGGGACTTCAGCCCCAGAATCAGATATGGGTGGAGGGGTCAGTCCCAGCCCCAGGAAGCAAAGAGAGGGTGGCTTGGGTAAGCCTTTCAGGGGGAGGGGGGACAGCTTGGTCAGTCCCACCCCCAGGCTGTTTTATTTTTAAAAATATGGTCACCTGGGAGGAGAGAGGGACTGGTGTCAGGGTCTTTACTTGTCTTGTTTACTTTTCCCTTGGAGTTAGGACGTCTTCAGTTTTTGTTTTGTTTTGTTTTCCCCCTTTCTCACTGCTTTTTTCCATGCGCCCTCTGGCAGCGATTTACATTATTGTACCTTAAAAGACAGACTCTGGAGCAGCTCATGCTCGTTTGCTGACCTATACGATTAACGCGAGTTAATTTTTTTAACACGTTAATTCTGCCCTGTGTTAATTGCAGGCGTTAATACCCATTAATTGACAGCCCTAAATATTATACAAATCCAGTTTCATGTCATGTCACCCTTTTTTAATGTGAAAAGGGTTGATGCCTTTTGGACTTAAATATTACCTTTCACTTTTGGAAATCCAGACATATCTGCATAGGAAACAGTTTGTAAATAGACCCATCTTCTGAGTGATCAGGAAATGTTGGGATTCTAGAAAAGTGTGTTTTTCTTTTGGGAAAGAAATGAGTGGACACAAGATATACATTCCTAATTTAACTGAAAACTATTGAACAAAATTATTAAACAAGTCGGCTACGTCTAGACTGGCCCCTTCTCCGGAAGAGGCATGCAGAGCAGGCAAGTCAGAATAGGGAAATCCGCGGGGGATTTAAATATCCCCCGCGGGATTAAAATAAACATGGCCGCCGCTTTTTTTCCGGCTTGGGGAAAAGCCGGAAAAGAGCGTCTAGACTGGCGCGATCCTCCGGAGTAAAGCCCTTTTCCAGAGGATCTCTTATTCCTACTTGCAAGTAGGAATAAGAGATCCTCTGGAAAAGGGCTTTACTCCGGAGGATCGCGCCAGTCTAGACGCTCTTTTCCGGCTTTTCCCCAAGCCGGAAAAAAAGCGGCGGCCATGTTTATTTTAATCCCGCGGGGGATATTTAAATCCCCCGCGGATTTCCCTATTCTGACTTGCCTGCTCTGCATGCCTCTTCCGGAGAAGGGGCCAGTCTAGACGTAGCCGTCTTGTTGAGCCCATCTGTCATATTGATTCTTGTTTTGTAGGCCTTCCAATCCCTAATCAATTCCAGTTTTTCTTTGCCTTTAAGAAACCACTTTTTAACTTTAATAGAGGCAAAGAACCTTCCAAATGTGAATCAGTTCACTATTGTAATCTCATGTCTGCCTAGATACTGAAACAATGGCTTTGAAAGAGATGTGAACTGCTTTGTTATCCCTTGCTTGTGCAGCTTCCATGTTTCGCTAACAAACTGTTGGGGTGATGGGAGGGTTCACTTCCAATTTGTTTTGTGCAGCACCTCCGTTCCATCAGCAGTAGTCTGGCTTCTCAACGTTACTTTCACACAAAATAGGCTCTGTCTATACTAGAAAACTGCATCAATTTAAATTAACTTTTAAACTGATGTCAAATTATAAGAAACTCAGTGTAAACAGTTAATTTGATTTTAAACTTTGCTTCTATCAATTTAATTTAATTCGGTGATTTTTGTACAAGTATGCATAAATCTGATGCCTGCATTAGGTATTTTCATGAGTTTAGCTAAATTAAGTAAAACTGATTTCAAGATAAACTGGTAAAATTTTCTAGTATAAACACAGACAGAGGGAAGAAGCTGTACCAGATGAATGTAATCTCAAGGTCTGGAGTAATGACTATGACTGGTATTCTGTGTCATGTCTTCAAATCATCAGAGTACTATCCTAATTGAACTTTTCACTAGGTACTGGGGGCAGGATTTGGGGAAACTACATATAATGGTAAAATTAACCAACATATATTTAATGCTCTATTTGGCTTTTTGTTAAATGTGGTATATATAATGAGGAAGATCTTTTAAATATCTAAAATTTTAAAAACAATATAATCCTTTAATAAATAAGGTTTAGTTGTGTCAGAAAACTTAAAGTCCATTAACTTCAGTTGGAGTTATACTCCTTTATGACACCTTTGCATCTGATTTCTGATGTTAGAGATTCTGAAACTTTTTAGAATGCTTTCCTCTCCTCTTCTGGTATGTCATGGTAAATCCCTGATTCAAGGCACTAATGTCAAGTCAGCGCAAAGTGTTTCCATTTAAATAATCCACATAGGTGATTTTTTGCAACTCCTAGGGGTGTATACACCATAAGTGCCACCATAAGTACATCTTTGCATAACCTCAGCTTCATGCATATTATAGGATTTGTGCAAAAAAAATGAGCCTGCAAAGTGTGCACACAATTTTCCATGAAATCAAGGCCTTTAATTTGTTTTACAAATAATAAACCATCTGTGAATATGAGATTTTGGAAGACATATATGAGCCTTTTTTAATATGTAAAATCTGTTAAACAAGCTTGGCTCTGAAAGACAAGTTTGACTTATGTTTTGAAGATTGAAACATACACCTTTTTTTCAAGATGTGGTACATGTAAGGAGGAATCCCTAAGCAGTCTCACAACTATTTTAAAATATCCTCTTGAGTGTCTGCATTAAAGAGCAGAAGTGACAATAAGAAATGTCAGAACTACTACCTGAATGCTTGCTTTTTTTTAGTCTGTCCGTGTGGAACCATTGGTCACCATGGGGCAGTTGACAGCACACTTGAATCCTATGGGCTGGACTCTTCCAGTGGTACCAGAACTTGATGACCTCACAGTAGGTAAGGATTCTTTGTAATTATAAGAGAACATGACTTTTGCTGTACTTAAAATTACTTTTTATAAAGTAGGATATTATATTCAGTCTTGGTTTTCTCAAAAATCTTTATTTTTTTAAATTGTTGCTGAATTTTGTATTCCGCTATCACACATTATATATAGACACAAGGTGGGTGAGGTAGTAGCTTTTATTGGCTAAACCTCTGTTGGTGAGAGAGACAAGCTTTTGAGTTTACACAAAACTCTTCTTGAAAGCTTTTCTCTCTCACCAATAGTAATTGATCCAGTAAAAGATACTGACTCGCTTATCTTCTCTAATATCCTGGGCCCAACACAGCTACGACACTGCATATGTTATATTTTAGACATGCACCTGTTCTTTAAAATTAAAAATGTGTTTCAGTTTATTACATTCTCTTGTTAAGGTGGTCTGATCATGGGAACTGGCATCGAGTCTTCATCTCATATCTATGGACTATTTCAACATACCTGTTTAGCTTATGAGCTTGTTCTTGCTGATGGAAGCCTTGTGAGATGTACACCAGTAAGATAAAATGTTATTTTGCTATGATTTACAATTTTACCAACTATTGTATGCATGAACATATGATTTAGTATGATATACTTTTTGCAGACTGAAAATTCAGACCTATTTTATGCAGTGCCTTGGTCTTGTGGTACTCTGGGATTCCTGGTTGCTGCAGAAATAAAAATAATTCCTGCTAAGAAATATGTAAAACTACATTACAAACCTGTCAGAGGTTTGGAAAAAATCTGTGAGAAGTTTACTGAGGAATCTAAAAAGAAAGAGAATAACTTTGTGGAAGGATTGGTGTACTCCTTGGAAGAAGCAGTTATTATGACCGGAGTTCTGACTGATGAAGCTGAAGACAACCAGGTAACTAAAAGGAATCCTATTCTCAAATTAGATTTTTAGTTCTCTCGCATGGAAAATATTCCAGTGTATGAAGTAATAGGATCAGTACAAGAAGTAAATTTTAATGGATGTTGAAAATACTTGAATGGTCAAGTATAGTTAACATTAGTTTTTTGCTGGTAGCTATCAACTAAGGCTATCACCTGTTAACCACATTTCCTAAAGTGATAGGTCTTTTCCGATATCTAGCGTGCATCATAGCCACTGCTTTACAACTCCAGGAAGAAAAGAAACACTTTGCACCCTTCTAGGAACAACTCACTTCTTTAAGACAGGAAACATATCTGGAGGGAGATATGGTCACAATGCTGTTACCCAAACTGACATCTGACTAGAAAATCAAGGTTATTATTAACAAAAACATGCCAATTATCTTTAGTGATAATTACTGTGAAATGCTGATCATTCTACAAAAACAGAATGATCTTTAAGACTGGTCTTGCCTTAGTTTTGCTTTGGAATTACATTATCTTAGGGCACTATGATCGCTTATATTACTGAATTTTCAAGTAAGGAATTTATTATTCTTTCTGTTGGGGTTTGTTGATATGTAATATATATTTGTTTTCAGATAAATAGAATTGGTAACTACTACAAACCATGGTTTTTTAAGCACGTGGAGAAGTATCTGAGAGCTAATCAAACTGGAATAGAGTACATTCCCTCACGACATTACTACCACCGACATACCCGAAGTATCTTCTGGGAACTCCAAGTAAGATTTAAGCATAAAGAAGATTTTAATCTTTGTTTTGGAGTACTTTGTGCATTCTCACAGCAGATCCAATGTTCTTTTCCCTTAGGGTACGTCTACACTACATGCCTCTGTCGCCAGAGGCATGTAGATTAGGTTACCAGCCATAGGAAAAAGAAACGGCGATTTAAAAAATCGCCGCT